CAAATGTGTAAAAAAAGCAAAATGTCCTTTCAAAATCAACACTATCCTTTCAAAACTTGGTCCAGAAGATGGAGGTCATTTAATTAGGTCCTCCCTCGGATAATTTTATGGGTAGTTCCAAGACAAAACTGGAAAACAAGACAAGAAGCAATGGATGGAAACTAATTAAGAAGAAAAGTAACCTGGAACTAAGGAGAAATTTCCTGATAGTGAAAACAATCAACCAGTGGAACAGCTGGCCTTCAGAAGTTGTAGGTGCTCCAACACTGAGGCTTTTAAGAAAAGACTAGACAGTCTTTTGTCTGCATTGATGTAGAATCTCTGATTGAGCAGGAGGTTAGACTAGATGGCCTTCCAATTCTGTTACTCTGTTATTCTGTCTTAGCTAGGACTCTCTCTTCCTTCAAGAAAGTCCACCTCATAGTTGATATATTTCCAGCATCAAGGAGACACGACCGCCATCTTAGATTTTACCATTTAACTTTTGAATTATTTATTTATTTATTTATTACATGTATTTATATGCCGCCATTCTCCCGAAGGACTCAGGGTGGCGAACACAAGTTAAGAAACAAGTACAATAAAATCCCATTTTAAACCAAATAACTAATTAATAGTAAATAATAAAACCCGGAATCAGAGTCAGCCTATTTGTTTGAACAGCCAAGGCTTCAGATCGCGACGGAAGGAATTATGATAATTGTTAGGCTTTCCCTGGCATTTCTTCCTTGTAATAATGTTTCTGTACACTGCCTTTTCCTTTATTCAGTTAATTTCATGTAATACTACAAGAATTAAAAACAGCAACTGACAAATAATGTGCAAGATCAAATGATCGACTTAGAAAACAAGATTTACAAAACACCACACTGGTTCCACTCCTAAGGGAAGAATTGCTAGTGAAAGATGCCAAATATATCTATTGGAAATTAATTGTTCTTTGCTAGAAAATGGATCAAAACCAACTCATTTTGGTGGTGTCTACAATTCAGCTGGTGGTTAGTACAACTGAGCTCTCATCAGTATTTAAACCTGGAACCTAAGGTGAAAATGCTCCATATTGTTGTCATCCACAAATCCATAGAGCTGCATTTTAGAATCAGTCATCTTTGATCTGCATGTATTGATTTTTAATTGGGAGAAGGCTAAAATATTGTCAGGATCGTGGATGAATATCTATTTATGTTTTTAGTGATCACTCTTTATTTGTGCTCTTTTGTCCTTGTAATTACTCCAAGAATTCTATGATCACTTTTCTTCAATGCAAGCCATAAAAAGTAGCTTTCAAACCAGAGATGCATTGTCCACAAAAGAATATAAGAATCCACACAACCTTTCCTTGCAAACGTATTCTGCTGCTTGCACACCTCCTGTTTTGTAATGCAATATATTAAGATATGCAAATTCCAGTCAAATCTATATTCATATGATTTGCATAGTAATGCATCTGTCATGGTAGTTTATGTTTATGTTCTCAAGTATGTTCTTAATTTTTTTGTGTGGGATTTTCTTAGTTTTATTCCTCCTTAGCTTTCCCATCATCACCGTCTTTGACATTTCTTCAGATTCATGGATTCATTTGTGCTTGTAAGCATTATAGATAATCATCTGACATCTTATTTCTCTGGTTTTCAGTTCTGGATTTGATGCATTTTTCACGAAGATTCATCTAGGCAGTTCTGAAAACATTGATGTGAGGAGATGGAAATAGCTTGTCCAAAACACCGTTGAGTATCACTCTTGCTTCCTGATGGTCATTTCTGTGGGCATTGGAACTGTTAGGAAGATACCAGATTAACATCATTCCATCCCTGGGAATCCTGGGGTCATTCTTTTGGCTTCCTGGATATGTTTTATGGGAAATTACAGGAAAGATCTTACATACTATAAGACCCTGAATTTTTTCAGATAGAAAATATCAGAGAGTAGCTTGAAAAGTCACCACTAGAATATCTGATTCCATTAGAAAAGTCACCACTCAATAACCTGATTCAATTATTGACTGGTTGATTTTGGAAACTAAGAGGTGTGAAGGAGGGTTTTGCTAGTTGTATAGTACCCTGTTTTCCTGAAAATAAGACCCAACTGGAAAATAAGACCTAGCATGATTTTGCAGGATGCTCGTAATATAAACCCTGCCCCCAAAATAAACCCCAGTTATGATCATCAGCAGACAGAGGTGTTTAGTACTGTATTTCCCCCAAAATAAGACCTGGCCAGAAAATAAGTCATAATGCATCTTTTGGAGCAAAAATTAATATAAGACCCGGCCTTATTTTGGGGGAAACACAGTACTTCCTTTGCTAGTTTTTGAATGGGGATGTTAACCTGAGAATCCCAAGCTATAGGTGAAACTGGGAGATTAGGGGAGGAAAGGAGAAGGAGGAGGAATGGAAGAGACAAACCATTTTCTCAGCTTTTGAAGAAAACTACATGGATGAAATATATTAGGAATCCATCCAAACAGGAGGACATCTTTATTCTTATCTTTACATCCACATACATATTTACCTGGGTATAAATCCCATTGAATTCTCTTGTAATCTCTTCTTTTTTAACTGATCTGTATAGGATTACACCATAAATTGATTCCATATGTTAATAATATATGATGCACAATAATATTAATAAAGGAGAATATTTATAGCTCAGGATTGAAATGAGAGGTCCTTGGTTTCAAGATCAGCAAGAAACATTGCAGAAAGGTCTGCAAGAAAACAACCAAACTAAGAGAGCACCAAGGACCCCAAATTTCAAATCTATGTTCTGAGCAAGAAAACCGATCTGCTTTGTTATGTTTTTACACATTTTACAACGACTTGTCCTTCAAGGACAGACACTGAAGTCCTGCAAATATCTGTTCAGTACAAAATCCTATTAAACTAAAGGATTATTTTAGCTATAGTTAAATTGGAAATAAGCCCATTTGAACTTAGCAGGCCTTACTTCTGTGAGGTGTGGAGCTCTACCTGACTTTATTAGATGACCAATTAATACCAGCATAGACTCTCATGGTCATTTGAGATAGTTAAAAATGCATCTATGTGGAGAAAAAAATAGACAATGTCTGTGCCACAGGAAAGATGAAGCTGCAAAGAATTAGGTCTACTCTTTTAGGTCCATTGTTTTAAGTGAAGGAGGAAAGTGATGCTTGTGGAAAGCAAAACATTAGAATAGGCTATCTTACTTCAAGAGCTAAATTACAGATGATTAGATAGATGATAGCTAGATAGACAGGCAGACAGACAGTGGTTGGTAAGGTAGGTAGGTGGGTGGGTAGATTAGATAGATAGATAGATAGATAGATAGATAGATAGATAGATAGATGAATGAATGATAGTTAATTAGATGATAGACAGACAAACAGACAGCGGATGAATGGATGATAGCCGGATAGCTGGATAGCTAGACAGACAGACAGATGCCTTCATCTAGACAGAGAGACAGATGCAAAAGAAAACTATGTTTCTATAGGAACAGCTTGGCTTGGCTGATCTAAAAGATAGCCCAAGAAGGTAGATAAGTGGATTATAAATATTTTGGAAATATTATTTAGCTGATGTATTTTAAAAATATGACAAATTATATTTTCTGAAATGGAGAACTTTGTTCAAAAAAAGTTATTAAAACATTAAAATTCAGGATATGAGGCTGGATTCCTACTTCCTTGTTTCTTAAATGATTTTAGCAAACAATACAAATTCAGATTCAATTCAGAATTAACACACTCTTCTTTCACTCCATATAGATGCTTGTGGGGTACTAACTCAAGATTCTAAAACAAGATGGGATGATATATTATGATATGTATATTAGAACATATAATATACAGTGTATGTTCTAACGGCTTGCCTTTAGAAGTTCTGGAAGCTTTTAAGAAGAGACTGGACAGCTGCTTATCTGAAACAGTTTAGGATCTCCTGCTTGAGCCAAGGGTTGGACTAGAAGACCTCCAAGGTCCCTTCCAACTCTGTTATTCAGTATTCTAAGAAAATTAATTGGGTGAATGAATGTATTGTGTACAAGGTTAAAATGCTGGCCAGTCATTGGGTAGAGCCAGCCTACTACAGTAAACTGTGGTGGGAAATCTCAAGGAGGGCATGTTTTACTAACTTCCTGGACTGATGCCTCCAGCTTCCTAAAGATAGTTATAATGTGGGCCACCAGCCCAGTTGAACCTCTCAACTTCCCAGCTGGACAACTGTGGAATTCTGAGCTGCCCCCACGGAACTAACCCACTCTGCCCAGGAGCTGAAAGGAAGACGAAGAAGGAACTTCATCCTGCAGTTGGTGTCACTAGTTTTTCTCACGGTTTGCCCAGACCTTGGATTTCAGGCCCAGCTCCACTTTCACTGAGAAAGGGGGTTTGAGCGTGCCTGGAAGCCCCGGTGCACAGACACTTGCAGGAGATAGGCTGGAGATAATGAACTTGAGAGTCCAAAGACCGGGGCAATTTCTTGAAACGCGCAGGGTCTCCGGGGGCAAGCTCAGCACCAAATCCAAATTTTCATGATCCAAAACATGAAAGCGGATCCAGACTGAAAGGGTCTGGAGAGACGCTTTGGTGGGTGGGGGGAGGGCAGCAAAAATTCGGCCTGGAGAGAGCCTCTACCTGCCTTTCAGCGGTCGGTAGGATCGCCGCAGCCCAAAATGGCAGCGTTCCCGCGGCCGTGGGTCAAGCCTTACGTAACCAACGGGGGGCGAGAGGAGGGGGGGCTTCAGGGGCTCAACAGGACCTTGCACGGCCGGTGAAGGGGTGGGGGAGCAGGCGCTGGTCTGCATCTAGAGCTGTGGTGGCGTCACTGCTAACGGCGAGCTCCTTCCTGCGGAGCGAGGTGAGCAGCATCGGTGCCTTCCTCCTCCTCCTCCTCCTCCTCCTCCTGCTCCTCCTGCTCCTCCCTTCCCGCGCCAGCGCAAGGGCTCGCCAGCCCGTCGCTCCTCCCGTCCTCTAATCCCCGCCCGCTGCCAGCCAGCCAGCCAGCCAGCCCCGGGGAGGGACGGCGGGAGGGAGCGCGCGCGCCTCTGCTGCACCGCGCAGTTCCCAGCCAGTCGGGGCAGAGGCAGGAGCGCAGCCAGGTTGTCGCAGAGGGCGCCCTCTCCCACCCTCCTGGCCCCCCGCTGCTCGCCCGCAGCTCCGAGGGAGGGGGCGAGACCCGCGCCCGTGGCCAGCCAGTCCAGCCCAGCCCAGGAAGGCGACCAGTCGGGAGGATGGAAGTGCCTCGCCTGGACCATCCCCGGAGCAGCCCGGCCAGCCCCTGCGAGGATGTCCTCAAGAACCTCAGCCTGGAGGCGATTCAGCTCTGCGACCGGGACGGTGAGTTGGCGCTTCTCTCGGGCCTTGCGGTGAGGGCCGGTGCCAAGACCCCCCCTCTCCCCCCGGCCTTCTGCGCCGCCGGCTATGGACCACCGCCGCCCCCTTCTCGGTGCAGCCCGTCCTTGCAATTTGCTGCTAACAAAAGGATTTTTTTAGAGGGAGGGGCGGGCTCAGCTGGCGAGGGAGCCTGTCCCTGCCTGGAGAGGAAGAGACCGCCGCGGCCAGGTTGCCTCTGCCTCTCAGAGCCCGGCTCTGCTGCTGCGGCTTCCAGGGGCTGCAAGGAGGGGAGGCGGCTGCTCGCTCGCGCGGACCCTTTTGGACCCGGTACGAGAGTCCCGGTTGCGCGCAGGCCGCGGGGGCAGAGCTGGGCCCGGCCGGGGAGCTCCTGGCGATGCCCCCTTCGGGAGAAGCCGAAGCCCCCACCGCGGACCCACCGCGGATCAGCCCCTTTGCAGTGCCTTGAATGGTGGGGTGGATGTGTGCCTGGGAGGAGGTGATTCCCGGGGAGAGAAGGCGAAGGGGGAGGCGGTTCTTTTCCAGCCCCAAACCTGTTGCGGATCCGCCCGATGCGCGGCGCGGCCCCGGTGATGATCCGGCCCCTCCAAACTGGGTGGTGACCGACCGAGGCGGGCGGAGAAAGGTGGCAGCTCGGCGTGTACAGCGAAAAATGAGAAGCGGGCGGCTGAGAGGCTTCAGCACCTTGGACAGGGCTCGGCTCCACTGGCCTCCATTGAGGGAAGACCCGCCAGATGTGGCGCTTCGGTCCGCTGCTCAGCCCTTTGTTCTGTACCCGCCCAGTTCCAGATGTTCGCATCCTGGGAAGCTGAGCGGTTTTTGCAAGGAGGGTATGATCTGCTATGGCAGATCAGTCCTCCCTTATTAATGAACCAGAAAGTTAACCATGCTTAACAAATGAAGTTTAGCTTTCACGTGTGCCAGGGTCAAACCAGCAAGCCTAGAAGGCTGTCCAGGAATCAGTTTTGTATTACTGAAGCCTCTGTGCCCAAGGCTTGCAGTGATTATGACACTTATTAGTTCTCTATATTTATGTATTAGTGCACACAAAACCCAACCCGTGTCCAAAATTTAATAATTTAGAGGATTATTTTCCAGAGTGCGGTTCATTTTTTATTTTTATTTTTTTGGCTAATCTGCTTTCCTTCTCCTTTCTTTTTTTAATGTACTTATCAAATGGCTTGAACATGGGGAAATTTAATGTGAAATGTCTGATCTCTAAATACTTAGCCTATTTTGAATGTATGCTTGAAATAGCTCCTGGGTTTTCAGGGCTGCAGATGAAGTCAGGCAACAAAGAAGGCTGGCCACAGCCAGCAGTTTTAGAGGGAGTATCACGTACTTAACCATTCAAAGGTTGGGCATTTATGCAGTTTCTGGGTTTAAACAGCCTTTTAAGATTTTGTACAACAGTCCACCATTACAGGGTGGATTTAATGGGATAATTACAAAGTATTTTAGATTGCCACTGCAATTACTTTAAAATCTTGGCTAAAGAAAGCTTTCTAGATCAGAGTGGGCAATGACATGGCAGTCACACTTCGTTTCCATTACGATAATATTGGCCATGCAATATCTTTTCCTAAATTTGATCTGATTGTTTTGTTTCCCTCAAATGCCAATTTAATGTGAGTGTGGGTGAGAGAGAGAGAGAAGTGTGATTTTTTTTCATTGCTGTTGTAGTCAAATCAATTTTGAGATGCCACATGTTGAAGGCACATTGTGCAACTTTCTTTGTCTCATTCAAAGTGGTGTGAAGTTCATTGGAGTAGGCTGCTAATTGGCACAGCATGGAATCTGATTTATCAAGCCCAATCACCTCATAACAGCCTTATTGGTGTGTTCCCTCTTCTTGGATGAAAAGAAAAGGACAAAAAAGACAGACAGACAGACAGATATCAGAGGGAACGTGGCATGCTCTCTCTTGGATAGGCCTTAGATGTCCAGCTAATGCCTGGAAGGATTAATCTGCTCTCCCTGTGATGCTTCAAGAGCTTTTCCCACATCAAGGGAGATGGTGCACTTCCTTGAGGAACATCACTTCAAGGCTTTTCAGTGAAAGTGGAAAAAAGAAAAGAACATGCATTCATATGCTTTATGTGGACCATTTACTAGTAGAGGTGGACAGTCCTTGAAACATATTTTAGTGTCCAACAAGTGTCATTGAGGAGTCACAAATGCCTCTATGGGGGAAACGCAGAACTGCAACAAATACTCTCTTTGGCAGAAAGACATATATTCATTTGCCCACAATCCTTAGTGCAACATAAATAGCATTTGTTTTTAAATAAGGGGTGCCCTTTGTCAAGGATGCTGTAGTAGAAAGAGTATTCCTGAGGTTCTGACCTCTGTGAAAACTTGATTGAAATGGATAGTTGTTTCACAACAGTCTTTTGAAGGAGGATGTGAGTTTGATTGTTAAAATCTATATTCCTTAAAAATCCCCTGGGTGTTCAGCTCCTCTCAAACTGACAAACGCTTTAATTCCACATTTTTTTCAGTTTATGCAAGCCTCAACTAATACCAATGCAGTCTTTATTTGATTTGATTTTCAAGGATCTTTCACACAAGAGAACGTGCAGGTTTTTAAATTAACTTTTGTTTTAATTTGCACAAGATAAATCTAACCAGGCAGTGTAATCTTACTTATGGATATGGATACATTGAAAAATGTGAGCATAATCTAGAAACAGAATTATTTTTTATCTAGAAATAGGATGAACAATCAGTATTTCATTTATAGATGTTCTACAGTTTTGTGGTATGGCTCATTCTAGAATTTTTTTTTTTTCACTTGAAGTGGAAAGTTGCTGGTCTTGATGATCAAGAGATGCTGGGATCATTTCTGGAAAAAATATTTCCCATTCCTTGCTCTTTTAGTGAGATGCCAATTATAACTTCCATTAGAAAAGAGTAATATTTTCAATCCCAGGGCACAACAATCTTGTTTATGGAAAGAAATTTCACATGGACTGTTTTTTTGCTCACAAAAACTTCATTGTGGTGTTGTTTTTTAGGCAAGACTCTAGGAAAGTGAAAGAGAAGTTGAAGCGCAACTATTCCATCTGCCTTATATCTTCCTCCTTCATGCTCTTCTTGTTACAATCAGCTGCCACTATCCTGCTTATTTTGCTGAATCCAGTCTAAAATGCTTTATTCCATTCAACTACTTCTTCTAATTCAAAGATATCTGTGGCCTGCGCTTTAGGTTTCTTCTGGTGTTTATTCGCATCAGTCTTTCTAGCTGCACGGAAATTGGAAATGTCTAGACAGTTTTGAATTATTCCCATTTATTTGGTTCTTTTGCAGTCTAAACATTTCCTCTTTTTTTGAGATACACCCACACCTCTGAATGCTGAGTACAAGTATGTGGATCTTCTTTGTAAGTTCATTTCACAGTCAGAGGGGCAATATATCATTTTTATGTTGGGAAAATGTGCATTGCAAAGTAATTTCCCGTATTGAAAATGAAATGCAAACATTTTAGTAGAGTAGCATCAGCCACTTATATTTAAATGATCATTGAGAGGATACCCAACTTAGCCTTATCCTGAAGGTGCAGAAATAGTCAGTTATAGAATCCTGTTCTTGCTTCTGATCATAAATACCCCTTTGGGTCTTCTTTTCTTTAAATTCATAATAAATTCATGTCTAGGCACCTCCAGGCATGATTATCTTATTATTTGTGCAGCACAGCTTTGTGAACGTACAGAATCTATATAAAACCGGGTTGAACAAAATCTCCTAGAATTATCAGTTGGACCTTATACGATGCGTTCATGAGATTATTTTTCTTGTGTAGCAACCGTGGAAGAGTGGCTCTTAATTACCCATTCATTTCAGTGGCATATGTTTTTAATTGCTTTTTAATTTATATCTCCCTTTCACATCAACAAATAATATTCACAGGAATACTCCAATATGGATTTCATCTTTCAAACTTTCCTTTTGTGATTATAATGGGTTCCTCATGGACTAGCTCCTGACAAACAGCTCTCTATTTCTCTCGTTTTCATTTGGTGCCCAGTTTTGTCTAAGTTTTTTTCCCCTTAATTGCTTAGCAACCATTCACCTCGCCTTCAGAAAAAAAACCTGTTTGTATAAAATACAAATATTATCCTTCTCTGTCCATATTTTTAGCCTATAACCTTTTAATTGAATGAACCAGATGCTTCAATAAAACATTTTCAAAACTTGATCTATTTTCTCACTGTGAGAAATTGTGTATTTGTCTGCATAAGTCTCCCACTTGGCACTGGATGCTATTCCTAATTGACATTTGCTCTTCCATTCATCTTTTTCGCATCTGTTTTGTCTTCTGGCTTCCTAGATTTCTTGGCTTTGAAAAGAGCAACCTATGGCTGGGTCTTTAGACACCAAGGCCTGGGTGATGATGGCCTGGATGCAAGAGCCCTTGGGGGCCTTGCTTTGTGCTGATGAAAACTGTCTAACTCTTTGGCCAAATTCCTTTCTTTTCTTGAAGCAACTCCACTTTCTCCAAATGGGCAAAGAGGCACAGAGGCAGCCCAATACACCATTAGGTGCATGGTGTACAAAAGAGAGCTCGGCCTCTATGATGCACATGGGTACCACTGTTTCTGCATTACAGTATCTGTTTCAGCAGGGCAGTGTGCAAGTAGCAGTGGAGGGTGGGAATACACAACTGTGTGGACCATGTAAGCTAAACTAACCTGCTGCCTTCAGGTCAGTGCAGGATCCTGCTTCCAAGTCAGTCCCCTTCCAGATCATCACCTTCCCTCTGGAAGTCCAAGTCTTCATCTTGGCTCAGGCAGTAAGATCTCTTGGGTAAGCCTTTCAAACATCTGGTAGAGAAGATCACTAGGAAACTTGGCTCAAAACAACTGGGTTGCCAAGAAGGATCCAGTGCAAAGCAGCCACCTTTGTCCTTCACTTTTCCCACATATCTCTCTAAACTGCCTTTTGAGTCTTGAATGCCTGTCCATCCCTCCGTCTCATATCCTCAA